GGGGACCCCACTGCCCACACCCCTCCAGGTCAAAAATGATCCATCCACTACCACTTTCTGGGTGTGCCCCTCCAGCCAGTTAGCGACCCATTTGACTGCGTAGGTATCGGCACCACAGTCTCCTAGTTTTTTAATGAGAACGGGGTGAGAGACAGTGTCGAAGGCCTTTCTAAAGTCCAGAAAGTCTATGTCCACCGCGACACCTGCGTCCAAGGCTTTTGTGACCTGGTCATAGAAGGGATAGGATCCTACATGGGATCCTTCTGGATCAGTAGCTGGGACACAGTGGACAGCTAATAGGGCAGAGGAGGGGTCTCTCCAGTTAAGACAAGCATCAGCAACCCTGAGAGGATCCACTCCTGACTTGCAGCCTGAAGTAGGTGGTGTGGTTTGGATGTTTCCACCTCTTCTGATGCAATCTGTTTCCCTGTGCGCACGAGAGGAGCGCTGCTCAATAGGAATGACCCATGATACCAGGTTAATTCTGTTTACAAAAGAATAAATATTATAGTGGTGTCTTATAAAAGAGAATCAATAGCTTCCCTTTGCTGGGTGATCCCTTCATGTCTTCGAAAATCGATTCCCCACCCCCACCGCTGCACAGCTATCTGTTTTTCGGGGTGACGGGGGGGTCAGGCGATTATCGAAGTATATGTGAATTTACAATATTAACGACTCACTATGGTGTGTCCGCAGGTTCACGGTGAATTAATTATCTGTTTAAGAAGCCATGAAGAAATCAATCAATGAAAATTTCTCACTCTTTTGAGAGCGAGGGAGCTTGTCAATTTTTTTCTTACATGCATCACATTTAAAGGGACAAGGACTTAAATTCTGAGGACTGCTCTGGAGTCACTGGGGAGTGCAAATTTCAAGTGATCCTGGGCACTGATCAGTCAGTCCATAGAAGGACTCTCATTTCCCATTCACTGGCACTAACAGATTTCAGAGATGGGTGGTTTCAATAGGGGCATGTTTGAGTGATAGAAAAGACAGCTGGAAGGGACATTGAGAGGTAGGTCCATCCTCCAGCTTCATTGCAGGATCTGCCTTATCCAACTATACCTATAATCTGGGTTAACTAACATAATGTTAGCTAGCATGTGTTAACTACAGCCTAGGAAGGCTCACTGCCTTAATTGTGTGCTACAATGCTCAGGTTAGAGGGAGGGTTGTGGAATTCAGCTGGTCTGTCTTAGCCAGTTAAGACACACACTACTTTGTCTACATTAACCTTCTGGAACATATTAGCTAGCACTTGTTAATCCCACAACTCTAGCTAAAACCTCTCTTTACTTACGAAAAGCCCACACTATTGCAGCTGGGGCTGTCTAACTGCTTGTAACGATTTACAGTGATAGGACCTGTTCTATTGCTCAGGGTGCATGCAGAATATAATGTATGCTTTCTATAGCTTGAACATA